CAATTCCCAAGAAATGACAAACAAAAACCCTCAATTTATCCCAGGCGAACACAACACTCTCTGGAACAAACGTGGTGTGTTATGAACACCAGGACCACAGTCAGCAACCGTCCGTCTAACTGACACACGGACAGACGAGGTTTTTTTTAGGGGGCGGTGGGGAGAGGGGGGGGGAGTCTTAATCTGCCTTTACCAACGCCTACTGAATAGTCTATACCGTTGGCCTTTACCTGTCCTATAGTATAGGCTTCTATTAGATCTTCGAAAGTCTAGGCTAGGACTTTACCTGTTATCAAGCTGACCACGAACCCCACCAGCACACAGACGACAATGCCAATGGCAGAGAACCAGAGGTAGGACAGCCCATACAGGTTCTCCACTCCCTCTCTGTGAAGATAAAAATGTGGATGAGTTTCACACACATGGCGACACGCAAAAAATGTCATTCTGAAAACAAAAAGGCATTATTGTCGTTGTTGTTGTTGTTTTTATCATTATTATTATATTATTATTATTGTTATTGTTATCAATGTTATTTTTGTAATTATTATCTTTGCCTTATAATATCATCGTCAACATCACAATAATCATTCCTCCGAGTTCAGTTTGAAGGTTGGCAGTGATAAGCATTAAGTGCCCTAGCAACCCACCTTATCAAAGATCTAAACTGAGTCGCTCAGGGTCTTAAACAATACAATAACAATGTCTATAGTTACTTGTCAATCTCTAGTACGTATTATAATTCTTTAACTACAAAACCATGCCTTAGTATATAGCACCAAATAATTGGTCGCTTTTAAGCACAGGGGGATATCCCGTAAAACGCTGTTTTGAGAAAATCGAAGTAAAGTTTTTGCCCCTTGTTCAGTTTCTTTAAAAGACAAGGAGAGTTTTCTGTATAACCAAACAAATATACACACCAATGAAACCAAACTTCTCCCATAGGTAGGACAATGCCCACTTTTAGTGTAGGTCAAGATTTCTGGAAATCCCCGAAATCTAAAGCCCGCTTGTCCTTAAAAGCGACCAATTAATTAAAGCCCATATATCACTTACAAGTCAAACGTTGTCGGAAATGAGAAGTTTGCATATTCTGGAGTTTGAGCCAATGAAATCACAGTGCTGAAGTTGACGGTTGTGTTGCAGCCGATCGTCGTTGTGGGCAACTTAAAGTTGATTGGTTTAGTGACGTAAGCTCCAACACTCAGCCAGAGGGAACACACTAAACCAAACATCCCACCAACTAGGGCGCCCTGAAATACAGCACAGGAAACATCATCATCATCATCATCATCATCATCATCATCATCATCATCATAATCATCATCATCATCATCATCATCATCATCATCATCATTATTTGAAAATAATAATAATATAA